GGATTGCATTTCTGCTTTGGCAGGGAAAAACAGAAGTTGGTATTGATAGGGGAAAGGCTAATTATCAGCCACAAAAAGTCTGAAGGTGTCTGGGCTTTGCATGAGCCTGAAGAGCTGTAAGAGCTGTTGTGTACTCCCTGGCTACAGAGGTGAAGAAATGCCCTCACACATTGGGTAGGACAAGCATATTGACTTGTGAAACAACCTGAGAGAAGCACAGTCAGAGAGTGGCCCAGGTCACAGCTGTCACAGGACAAAGTGCCTTTGGCACATGTGTGACTTGAAAGTGAAAAAAAAGAAAGGAGCGTGCTCAGATTTATAACTGTTATAAATCCTTCCTCTTCAAGAGAAGCTGCTGAACAAGACGCCTGACCTATTGAGATGTGCTTCGACAAGGGCACAAAAGAAGCATTTCAGAACCTGGTTGCAATGCCATGGGGTGTGCTGGGATCAAAATGTGCTCATGATGATGATAACACCTTTCTTCTGATCAGCCATTGCTCTTGCCCACACCCCGCCATCCCACAAGGAAAGCTGCAAATTAAATTCATTTTTCTCTTGCTATTTCAGGAGTTGGGCCCTGTCTGGCTCAGCATGTGCGTGGGCACGGAAGCAGAATTTAAAATTACCAATGGAGTTACATTTGACTCCACAAGAGGGAGAACTCCTTTGCTTGATGCTCTCCTGAAAGGAGGCCCATTCTTTTGAGACCTTCTGATCAGAGCAGCTGAATCAGAGCGAAGCTAATAATATTTGAGAGACAATAAATTGGCTATTTTATGGAAAGGAAAAAAAATTGCTCTCCTTGAATGTCTGTGCAGTTCTCCCTCCACACACTTTCCTTTTTATTTCTTCATCTTGTACTCAGATAAAACTTGTGACACCTCCAAGTCACTCTGCTATTTGGTAGTGAAGAGTTATTTATAAAGACATACACGTGTATTGGGTTTTGTTGTGGTTTAACCCAGCAGGCAGCTGAAGACCACGCAGCCACTCACTCACTCCCTGCCCCCCTCAGTGGGATGGGGGAGAGAATTGGAAAAAATGAAAACCTGTGGGTTGAGATAAAGACAGTTTAATAAAACAGCAGAGGAAAATAATCATAAAGATGATGATGGTGATAATGATAATAATAATAATAGCAACAATAATAATAGACTATACAGAATATAAAAAACATGTATACGTTATATACTGAGAATGACGTCATATGGTATGGAATAGCCCTTTGGCCATTTGGGGTCACCTGTCCTGGCTGGGCCCCCTCCCAGCTTCTCGTGCACCTGGCAGAGCAGGGGAAGCTGAAAAAGTCCTTGACTTAGTATAAGCACTACTTAGCAACAACTAAAAGTCTGTGTCAGTTAGTCAAAAGTTAGTGTGTTACCAACATTCTTCTAGTACTAAATCAAAACACAGTGCTATGCCAGCTACTAGGAAGAAAATTAACTCTATCCCAGTCGAAACCAGGACAGGTTTGCATGGCAAGGGTTTGGTAGCAGGGGGCTACAGGGGGGGCTTCTGTGGGAAGCTGCTGGAAGCTTCCCCCATGTCTGACAGAGCCAATGCCAGCCGGCTCCAAGACAGACATGCCTCTGGCTGAGGCCAAGCCCATCAGCAATGGTGGCAGCGCCTCTGGGGAAAAAAAACCCTGCACAATTGTAGCGAAAGAGAGGGGTGAGATTCTGTGAGAGGAGCAGCCCAGCACCCCCCAGGC